GAAAGGACTACCTTTTGGCCTCTCTGCAAAGTGCCTTGATTGTCGAAGCCCTGATCTTATATGAGGGAACAACATAATACAAGTTATAAATACTTCTTGTATGCACTATCTGTAACAAGTTAAGATATCCATTTCAGATCTTCCTGCTCAAATAGCAGTTTTGCCAATGGTGTAGTGAAGGCCCCCCCCCCCCCCCCACTCAGCTGATACGCTGGACTAAGCTAGCACATTAACAGCCCGTTTGGCCTGTGACTCTCCAGTCTAGTTATGCACCTCTGACACCCAGGTTAAAAATTAACACTGTGAATGTTTAATACACAAGTGGATCATGAGTTAAGATGCAGCGCTTGGATTACCCACCAATCACAGCAGTGGTGGTTTTCATTCCCAGCAAGTTAAAGAAAAATAATGAAATTATTTGCGTAGGCATCTCTCCATGAGGAGCTCAGGGAGCCAAATAAAAACATTCCTCGCTAGAACTTGCATAGTGCAATCAAAAGTAGAAACTGCAGGAGATAGTAGCATGCAAGAAGAGGATAAATATGGGACCCTCAAAAGAAAACCAGCGTTTTGGAACATCCCATATAATTTGATTGGTGGCACAAAATGTCACACACTTCATTTAAAGCTCACGAGATAATGTCTTAGTAAGTGGACAGGGTTTAAAAAGAGGCATCTATGTTAGTTTTTAATAGATGTTTTAAAGGATTGTTTCCATGGGCGACTGGTGCCTCTTGAATCTAGGGGGGCACCAGCAGCTGATCGCCAACCGGGGGGTAGTCCCCAAGTGGCCAATTCCTGACCCCAGAAGCACCAGTGGCTTCTCTCGGCACCCCCACTCCCCAGCTGGTGCCAATCTCAGTGGGGGGTACTGGCCGGTGCTTCTCTTGGCACCCCAACTTCCTGGCCAGCGAGGGCCAATCTGAGGGGGGCGGGGGCGTGTGCCCTCTCTACACGTTGCCTGTGACACTTTCACAGCTATTGTAAAACCCATTTCCTCAAAGTTGGCATCACAGGCCAGACTGTTCTGTTACATAGTGTACAGCAATAGAGGATTTCAGCCTACTCAGAGTCTTGTCAGGCGTCTGATTCTTATTTGACTGTCTGATTTTTCAGTCTTGCATGTTGCTGAAGAAGCATTTTCAATATACAGAGCCTTAACTGCCTAGTGGCCGCCACAACTGAGATCTGGGCTTTGATCGTCACAGATCTTCAGCTAAACAGTCAGGCCAGGCTCAGACGAATGCCAACATGTCCAGCAAAACAGATACATAAAGCCATAATGCGCAGGCTACATCAGTGCTGATACAACATGCTTGGCTTTTAACCAGTGAAAATCTTGCGCTAGCAAATCCTCTAGGTCTTCACTAGTGAGGGCCATGTTTTGTGCTCTGTTATGCATTGTACAAATGTATCAGTCTTGCACCGGTCCACACCATGTGTGAAACAATATAGCCCTCCTGGTGCATATTTGGTAGTTACACTTATAGTGACTAGTCCAGGGGCTCTTGGAAAGATGATCTAAATTACTCTGTTGTACCCAGTAAAAATAAGCATGGTCCACTATAAGCACAAAGTGAGGCTATTTTTTAATAGAAACTAAGGGCCAGCTCCAATTTTGTCTCTGAGATGCCTGAGTGGTGCTTAGGTGCTGAAGTATGATTATGTTCCATCCTGAAAAGCCGTTAAAGCAAAAGGCTTATGATTTAGGCCCAAGGCTAAAGATGGATAAAAAGTAGACGCGTTAGCAGTTTTAAAACTCAGCAGGGTGGAGTAGGATCGGACTTGATTCCCAAAGGCCACACAAATGCCTGTTATGTAGAATAGAATCTGGCCCTCAAGTTCCTGAATTGATGAGCCCGTCTCAGTTGCACAGTGCACTCCCTCCCACTGAGCTCAATTAACCCAGCTCTCCTAACTAGCCCAATATCCTGTGTACTGAACCACAGTGCTGCTGTTTCACATACTCACTGAACACCAACACCAGAAGCAGTGACCTATGTAGAATATTGGGAGCAGACCATATAGAAAGGGTGGGCTGGGGACACAGCAACAATGACAACATGCACTTCCTTGTTCTGCAGAACAATTCTTAGTGGCATTTTTTTTCCAGCAGGCTAAAATTATTGCCACATTCATAGGACTGGAAGGGACCTCACAAAGTCAGCTAGTTCAGCCCCCTGCTTAAGGTAGGATCATGCATAACTAAATCATCCCAGCCAAGTTTCTGTCAAACCTTGAAAACTTCCAAGGATGAATAGTCCAGTTTCTAGGTAGCCTGTTCTAATGACTGACCACCCTTACAATCATTCTGACCTGCAAAAAGATACAAAGACAGCATATCCATCCAACACAGCAGGGCAAAAAATAACAGCATCATAACAATCATAAGCTGCATAGGTGCCACAGGCTGCCAAAATAAAGAAAAGGTTTTCTATGTACAGTGAAGCTGCATGTGTAGCATGAAGAAAAAGGAAATTCCCTTCTCTTCCCAGTGGCATCATTTCTCAGACAGAGGACCAGACTAGGCCAATGGAAGAGGAATCCACTGTCAGCAGACCAGACTCAAGCAAGGCCAGAGAGAAAACCATCATAAGACGGCTGTAAGTATCATTGCTTGCTTTTGGCAGTGAAAGGGTAAACTCCAAACGTAAAGGAAATATGGGGCGGATTTTTAACTGCTGCTGACTGGTTGGTTTGGTTGGATGCCGTTCTCTTCTCTTAAAACAACGATCTGAGGCTGGAATCCTAAAACAAGCAAACCACCCACTGAAGCCACAGAGAATGTTGCTTGCCTCGGCACTCTAGCACTTTGATGCAGCGCAACCCTGCAGCTCCTAGAGAGTAAAGGGTCCAGGTTGCTGCAGCTGGCAGTTGCCTTTTTGACGGCTGAACTATCAGTTATCTTGTCAGTTTAGCTGTCATGCGAGTTAATCTTTTAACAGGTCATCTGAATTAGACAAAAATCAGATTAAATGCTTTGCCTCAGTGTTGAGAGAAGCTACCCAATGCCTTTTTAGTGGTAGCAGTACCACAAAAAGAAAGATGGCTTAAGCATGGTTCCAGGCCAATTCATTGTATAGTTTTAGCAAACTTATCTAAACATGGTATAGATTTCATATTCCTAGAGCTATTGTCACTTTGGAGAGTTGTATAAGCTACTAGGACAGCAAAGTAGCAATACAACATATTCAGCACTTCCCTTGTACTTTTAATTCTTAGATTTCAAAGCTCTTTGCAAATGTCAGTGTCATCCTAGAAGGGGGAAGCAGAGGAAGTAACTAACTTGAGGTCATGGCAGCAGGTAGGGCAGGGATGGACAACCTGCAACATGTGAGCAGAGTGGCAAATTGATGTGGGAAGGGGATCAGAGTGGCACTCAGGGAGAACACAGGAGTTAACTTGTGACGCACCTGCCGAAAAGTTTGGCTTGCCATTGAGCTGAAGTAACCCAGCTCTCCTTACTAGCCCTACATCCTGTCTACTGAACCACAGTGCTGATGCTTCCTATGATCACTAGTACCACAGAAAAAGGAGGCTTGGCTTTGCTATGAAAAGCACCCTATAGGAGCCAAGCCATCTTAGATGCGAGAAGAGGTTTGCAGTTAAGATCCCTGTTATAAGACACGCATACTAGGCTCTGCAAGACTTACGTTCTCTTTCCTATCTGGGTTCCGAGTCCTCATTCCAGAAAGCATCAGTATTTCAGAATGAATCATTAAAGCAGTGTGGGTCAAAAGACTATTCCTCCTCTTTTAAAAATAGGGCTAGAAGGCTGATGCACTGACTATCTCTGGAGGTTTTGGTATGATGGAGTTTGAGTGGCTCTGGGTGCCAGCATTCTCAAGACATGGCCTTAGAGTACATGAATACATTGGCAGGGCAGGCTCCGCACATCTTTGTAACCTCCCCTTTTGTATGTTATTCCTTTTCTCTTCTCTCTCTCTCCCTGCAGGTTCTTTTTTAAACAGGGAAAATGAATGTGATGCACAAATTACCCCCTTCTGCTCAATGTTGCACTGGTTAAGGGTCCAAAAGGAGTCAAAGAAAGAAGTACTGGAAAGCATACCATCCACATCAGTCCAGTGAATGGGCCTGGTGTTACAATTGTTTATTTGTATTATTACTTTCAGAGTTTGCTGCTTTTTTTAAAAAGAGTTTCGTACATTTGTATTAAAAATATTTTCTTCTTGCTAAGCATCCTAAGTTCCCATTAGACATCCCTAGGGGATAAGTCTTTATGAATAGTGTTCACACTCTTTTGAAGACGCACACAGGCTACATCCTACATTACATACATTCACTGACATCTAAAAACACCTACTCCACAGAAGCTTACCATGCTGAAATGATAGGCACTTGCTAGATTTACACGATCTACAGCAACAGCTTTCTTCCTCCTGTAGGTATTTGTTTTATGACTAATCTGCTCAGTATTAACATGTAGGAGTATTCTGCAGTGACCTTAATTAGCACACCACCGCTGTATGTGACCCAGAAACAGATGCAAGCTAGTAGTTGCCAGTTCCTGGGAACTCACAAACAAGTAAAGCATGGTGGCCTGGTCTCATAGGAACTGGCACCTTGGAAGAAAAAATTAAGACTTGGCTGGACTAGAGAGAGAGAATTACTTGCTCACTCCAATGAACCAAATTACAGCAGTGTTGGAAACTTACACTACTACTTCCTATGCCGAGCCAGTTCTGAGGACACGTAGGATTTAAGATAGTATTGATACTTTTGAGGTGTGCTAAATATATGTTCAAGTTGCAGAGCTGCTTCTACTTCCCACATTGATGGGAAAAGGAAGCCTCTAAAAAGTGACTTTTTCCCAGACTTTTAGCTTTTGGAAAGTAACAGAAACTGCATCTTCAGATTGTATAGCATGTGGGGATGCTAATTATATATTAGAAAGGTTTAGGTAAAGGAGAAATGGGAGGAAGGAGTAGGCAAGAACATTTTGAGGTTTGTACTCATTCTAATCAAGTTCCACATCTAGCAGGACAACAGTTATTTAACCTGAATTCAGATTTGGGAGTGATTATTCATTGTTCTTGTTATGTCTAGAATTGAAAGTATGATCTTCTTCTCAAAACAGAAAAGGAGAATCGTGAAGCTTCACGGTTACCTTTTATCTGCTAGTAGTAGACAGAGGTAGGGCAGTTCATGTCTGTATTTGTACTTAGTAATGGGGCCATCACCAAGGAGGATTATACCTCCATTGTTTGAGATTGTAGGGGGGCTGTTAGGAAGGCTAAGGCGGAGACAGAACTGGGACTAGCGACCCAGATCAAAGATTAACAAGGAGTCCTTTTTTAAATATGTAGGGGGTAAAAAGAAGGTACCAGGTAATGTGAGGCCTCTTTAGGACACTCTAGGAAATCTGGTTGTCGCACCAGACAACAAAGCTAACCTCTTTAACAATTTCTTTGCCTCCATTTTTCTGAGCAGGGACCAGGTCATCCCCCACACCAGGATCCCTGACGGACACAGGGGAGGCACAGCCAAGCCCAGGGTCAGTGGGGACCTAGTCAGGGAACTTCTGGTAGGACTAGATGTGTTCAAATCAGCAGGCCTGACTATCTCCACCCTACAGTGCTGAGGGAATTAGCAGAGGTCTTTGCGGGACCCCTGGCACGGCTGTATGAGCATTCATGGTGCTCTGGCAAGGTGCCAGAGGACTGGAAAAGGGCCAATGTCCCGATTTTCAAAAAAGGGAGGAAGGAGGACCCAGGAAACAATAGGCCCATTAGTCTTACCTTGATCCTGGGGAAGCTCTTTGAGAAAATTATCCAGGAGCACATCTGCGAGGGACCAGCAGGGGAGATTATGCTCAGGGGCAACCAACACGGGTTCTTTAGAGGCAGGTCCTGTCAGACCAACCTGGTGGCCTTGTACAACCAGGTCACAAAATCCTTGGACGCAGGTGTCACGGTGGACGTAATCTTTCTGGACTTTAGGAAGGCCTTTGACACTGTCTCTCACCCCATTCTCATTAAAAAATTAGGCAACTGTGGCTTTCATGCCTACAGTCAGATGGGTCGCAAATTGGCTGGAGGGCTGCACCCAGAGAGTGGTGGTGCATGGGTCATTTTTGACCTGGAGGGATGTGGGCAGTAGGGCTCCCCAGGGCTCAGTCCTGCACTGTTCAACATCATCAGCGACTTGGACAAGGGAGTGAAGAGCACCTTGTTCAAATTTGCAGATGACATTAAGATGTGGGGGGATGCGGGCACACTAGAGGAGAGGGACAGACTGCAACTAGATCTGGACAGGTTACAGGGGTGGGTGGATGAGAACAGGATGAGTTTCAACACTGACAAGTCCAAGGTGCTCCACCTGGGGAGAAAGAACCTGCAGCATACCTACAGGCTGGGGAACTACCTTATAGTCAGCACAGAGGCAGAAAAGGATCTTGGAGTCATTATGGATTCCAATTTGAACATGAGCCACCAATGTTCGGGAAGGCTAACCACACCTTGTCATGCATCCACAGATGCATCATGAGCAGGTCCAGGGAGGTGATCCTCCCCCTCTATGCGGCACTGGTCAGGCCACAGTTGGAGTACCGCATCCAGTTCTGGGCGCCACACTTCAGGAGGGATGTGGACAGCATCAAGAGGATCCAGAGGGCCACCCGCATGATCAGGGGTCAGCAGGGCAGGCCCTGTGAGGAGAGGCTACAGGACCTGAACCCCCACAAGAGAAGGCTGAGAGGGGAACTGGTGGCTGTCTATAAACTGGCCAAGGGGAACCAGCAGGCAATGGGAGAGTCCCTGTTCCCCTGAGCAGTAACCAGAGTAACAAGAAGTAACGACCATAAGTTGACAGGAAATTCAGGCTAGATATCAGGAGATACTTCACAGTCAGGGCGGCCAGGATCTGGAACCAACTTCCAAGGGAAGTGGTGCTGGCTCCTACCCTGGGGATCTTCAGAAGGAGGCTGGATAATCACTTAGCTGGGGTTGTTTGACCCCAGCATTCTTTCCTGCCATGGCAGGCGGTTGGACTTGATCTGCTCAGGTCCCTTCCGACTCGACCAACTAAAACTGAATGTTAATCAGATTCTGCAGAAGGTAGAATGCTACACTCACCTATGGGTGCATTTATTAGCAATGAAATATTAACAAAAGCAACAAAGCTGTCAACCATGAAAAGATTAGACTCCATGTGTTGCCAGTCCAGTGGAGAAAAGAGCCACAATGATTTTGCCATCAAGGAGTTGCTATATGCACTACACTTTTGGTCTTGCTTTTGCTATGTGTATTTAAGGAGCTGGGGCCACAGTGAGGTACGGTCACTGAGGCAATATCAAAAGTACTTTTTCCTATTTATAGCATGACCACCACTCAAGTAGCTGATGTTGAGGTTTGAGAGGCGTAAGTCAGCTGTAGAAGACATGACATCACTCCTGCATTGCTCGGATGGAGTATGCTAGGAACAGCTGGCTGTTCATAGAGGCGAGGGCTTAGAATGAGGTATTCTGGAATACAGACTTACACAGGAGGGACAGAGCTCCAGCATCCTTCAGGAAGGGAGCCAACATCCTTGGCTTGAGAAGTAGAGACAGTTCCTTACAGGTCAACTCCACTGCAGTTAAAAATTAAAGTTGCTGTAAGTAAAGAACAGGGAGATGATACTGACTGACTGGCTGTAGTCAGCACAAATGTAATAAACGGATCCGAGAGCCCTGTCCAAGAACAGGGAGAGCCCTGCATAGGCTACAGCTGCAAAGTTTACTAGTATTTCCCAATGCTGTTGTTAATGGGAAAAAAGGTCTTACTAACAAGGGGAGGAGCGTTTTAACTACCCTGTTCATTGCCATGGATGTTAGTCTGACTCATTAAATGCACTTGATATTTATCCCAAGCTACCTTCCACCAACTGCTAAATTCCTCAAGCATTCCCTGCCCAATAGCCACAGCCAGGTTTGCCATTGGTAGCTGTACAGGGATACATCACCACAAACACCCTTGACATTTAGCAAATTAAACAATAACCAAGATATGCTCTACTGGCCAGCACTTGCTTCCATAAGTAATGCACAGGTCACCCATATTTATCTATATGATGCTGTCACATTTTCAGGGTGCCAAGGAAGTCAGGATGCAGCGTTGCAGGCCCTTTGTGGATGGTAGAAGCCAGGCTAGAATGTGTAAAAACAGGGCCCCTTTCCCTTTCGACTACATGTTGTCAATGTGACATAGTCAGTATGAAAGCAGTGTCATATTAGCTTTATTACCATGTTGCACAGCTGTACCACTCAAGTGCCTGTAGAACTCTACAAACCACAAACTGAAAAAAACATTTTAATAAGAAAAGTTAAGTAGGTCACAATACCAGAATCCTCCTCTCATAAAACAAGGAACAGAGAAGTGAAGAGCAGTATAACAAGATTAGAGTAAGCTAGTGGCAGAATAAAGACTAGCATGGAGGCGTGCTTCTCAGAGAGTGTGCCTACTTGCTAGAGTCTGCTGTAAGTGGAAGGTCTCTGAAGGAGCTACATCAGTAATTGGATTTTCTTTACAGAGTATGAGGAAGCATAGTGCTGGAAAGTGGTTTCCACTTGAACACCAGTTCCACTCTGTTTAAACAGCGGTTAAGCTAACTGAGCACATGCAGCCTCCTTGCTAAGCATACCATGGAAAGAGGGATGGATAGTACAAGGTATTAAGAACTAGACCATTTTCACAGCTTGCTTAAGAAACTGTTCAGACAGAGGCAGGTACTACAGCAATCATTTCATTGTTAATAAATATATTTTTTATTTTAGATATTTTCTTCAAGTTTCACTCTTAAAATACATTACCAAGCCACCTTTTGCTGCTGAAATGCACAGCCAGGGTGGTGTTACTCTACAGCCTATCACATAGGCAAGCGTACACCACTGTCCTGGTTGATGCCAGCAGGAGCAGCAGCCTTGGAGACACGGGGGAGCAGAGGACATTAATAGAGCCACAGAATCTCTTGCTGACATCTAGCAGCAAATGTGGCTGATAGCCCAGGGCCATCATTAGCTATGTACATGCCAAGCACATCTTGGCAAAAATTCCAATTGATGAGTTCACCTTTATTGTAAGGGCCCCTACTGTATAGGTCACCTATACCGCTGGAGAACCCAAACTATACTAAGCCCAAACCTATAATGCTCTGAGCATAATGTGCTAGATGCTAAGCATCCTCAACTTCCAAAGTGGGACTAGACAGTGATCAAGAGCTGTCAGGACTAGGCTCTAAGGAATCTACCTCTTCATGTAGAACTCCTCCCCTATTGATTGAAGCTGCACATGAAGAAGAGCATACATATTTTGAACCTTTATTCCCTAATTTCCAGCATTCACAGTAAATAAATAGTCTCAACATGGCTAAACAACATTGTTAGGCAATACATTTGGGAGAGGGGTTCTTTAGTTTTTTTGTTTCTTTAAAAACCTTTCAGCACCCCCTCCAGATCAGGCACCAGCTACAGAAAAGGTACTCTCTCAGAAACTTTAGAACACACTAACTTAAAAAAAAAAAAAAAAAAGTCCTCATAGCAATCACTTGTAAGCTTTCCCTTCACATTTCTAATCAGCCTGCCATGTACAAGATCAGCAACACACAGATTAAAGTTACCTCTCTGGAGAGAGTAGCTAGGTTAGCTATTCATTCTTCTAGTGCCAATGCATTTACAGATTTTGTCCTCAACAAGAGGTACCCTGCTGGAAAAGCCAGAATGACAGAACAGTAATCTGCCACACTGGCATCCTTGGCCCATCAGCACTATGTTTTAAAGAGTCTTACAGATAGTCACGTTATTGGACACCAGAGTCAGAGAACAGGGATACATCTGTTGTCATAAAAGCTGACACTGCGTAGATCTCTCTTCCTAAAAAAAAAAGGCATGAAACTTCAGAGCCAAAAGGAGAAGCACAGCCCAAGAGATTCCTTTAAACTGCAGAAGTCATTGACTGCATGTTCATGCAGCACAGGTCACTCTAGATGCAAAAAAGTGTTCAGGTTTCTTTACAATGTAAGTTTTGTCATCTTGGGTCACGTGTTCAAGCTTGCCTGGAAACTTGTAACATTTAAATGCTAGAGAGCAAAAATGGTTTTTAAAGAAGTTAAGACATCAGAAGCAGTCCACTAGGAGAGCTGAAAAAAATCCATCCACTCCCTTCAAGAGCGGTCAGGCCAAAGAAGGATGAATCAGTGTTTCAGCCACGGATGAGCTTCAATGGAAGCCTTGCTCCTGTCTCCATAATCATACAACAGTTCTTCACCCACTTTAATGTCCCGCGAAGCTATCAGTATGAGATGAGGTACACCATCAATGTCATGAAGTTTTGTTTGACAGTTGCCACATTTGCTGTGATTGATCAGCCTTCCCAGACGATTAGTCTCTTTTGTAGCATCAACACTGAAATAACAGAAAAAAAGGGACGTTGAATGCAGGACTGCTGTACAGCACAAGTCAGATTACCGCAGTCTAAAAATATAGGCACTGAAAAAGTTAAGAGGAAAGAAGGTAGGCAGAGTCAACATGAGGCCTGACAACAGACAGTGCCAAAGGGGATGGAAAGACCAGCAAACATCAAGCCTCCCAAAATTGCTTCAGCAAATCTTCCCAGGGTATACATATACTACAGTAGCAGGTAACTCAGCCCCACTTACAAGCCCTGCCCACCTGCTGCCTCTCCACAAGTGGCAACCCCTGAAATAAAATAGTGACAAAGTGCTGAGGATGCCCCTAATACCACCAGCAAGACCTGTGTTTCCAGCATGCTGAAAAGTAGTGGCTGAGGTATCCTCAGTCTCACTTGCAGGTGACTGTGTGCAGAGGCATTCAGTAGGATTTATATTCTTGGCCACCACAGCTTGGCATACCCTAAGCTAGCACAGAACTAGAAAAAACCAAAACACCCTGAATATCCTCTGACCATGTATATCGAGGTGTGGCATAGTAAGAGGTGATGGTGATGCTAGAGGGCTGGAATCTTAACTCCAAAATAACTTCTTTTGGAGCAGACCATTTAGTAGGAACCAAGCCTTCTTTTACAGGGATGCTATTTCTTTTCCGATTTGTAAAAACACATCATCCTTTACTCACTAATCTTCATGAGCAAAATATTTTCTAAGTGTCTGATGAAAGAGATGTCAATAGATCTAGTCAGAAAGCCAGCAACAGTTGAAAGTCAAATCCAGACTTCAATCCTCATCCTGATCTCCATCCTCTAGTTTGAGCTGTTTCTTGAGCCACCTGCCACTCCACTAACAGTGGTCCAGCACACATTCTTGGATGCTTCAGTGTAAGTGAAAAGGCTTAGGACTTGACCTGATCTGTTTCTTTGAACTAGGAAAATTTTAACCTAGCTAAAATAAACTGTATAATTTAGTAGCATAGACAGCTTCACCCACCTTTTGCATTCTTACACTCAAGCTTAAAGAAAAAGAAGGGGAAAAGAGATGAGGCTTACCAGTACGTTTTGCTGAGGTACTGAAAATAGTACATGTAGCAGCCTGTGGATGGATCCTGTGCGTAGACAGCCTCTCGCTTTTTAGCATCAGTGATCTCTATGAGATCCCCATGATATTCTACTACAAATTCTCCACGATTAAAACGTTTGGTAGCGATTACTCCTCGCCCTTTACCGTCAATGAAATCAATCTGTGAAAAAGTGAGGTCAGTTAGTGAAGCAAAACATTTAAAAACAATTTTAAGTAAAAGAAACCCCCAAAAATATTACTTTTCGGTAAGGGAATATGCGCCTGTTAGACAAACACTGCCACTGTAGAAGAACAGCACATATAAATACAGCGCAGTAATACTGCATAGTATCAGGGTGTAAGCAAGTAAAAACAAGGCTTAGGGATGTGGCCACAAATTACAAGATGCATAATTACAAAGTTTTCTAGGGAGTCTAATATGTCAACAGGGCTATACCTGCAGAAAAAAGGGGTAGTCAGTATTTTTCTTTTAAATAGCAATGGTGATGTGTTACTGGGATACAGTAGTCTCCCCATTTCAATATAGAGGACAAAACCAGCATTCATTTTTGCTGCATCATAGATTAATTAGAGAAATAAGAAAACATGCATCCTGGAAGCTAGTCCTGTTGGCTGAAAATACACAATTGCTCTCAGTAGCATATTCCCTACTATGTTGTCTAGCTCACCATTACATGGGGTAGGCCAAGATGCCCATGGGAAGTTTTCCATTATCAGCCTACTGTTGCCTTGTTAACACCAACACAACACTTCAGTACACAGTCTTCTGGTGCACTCTGAAATTTCTTCAGATATTTGTTCATGGTGAATATGAAGCTGTTTCCAGAGCACTGATCCCATCTTATGTGGCAAGATTATTTTCAAATTGACAGGCTCAAGAATTATAAACCCTTTGGCTTTTCAAAGGTTATATCTGTTTTACAGTCAAGGAAGAAAATAACAGAGGTCCCAAGCAGCAGAGTTACTGCCACTGGCTGTGGAATCAACTAAGACTACCACTGGCACCATCACCAAAAGCCGCAAAGAAGAGCCATTGGCATGGCAATAAAGTATAAGCCAACTTTAAAACCCACTTCTGACACTGTTCATTTGTTGTTGCTTAGGTTTATATCACAATATAGGAGTTACTTTGTTTCCCCTCCGAATGAGCAGATGCACAGTTCTGAAGAGCATATTACTAGCGCTGCCCAACAACTTCAGATGAAGACTTCGTAACCCTACCACAAGCATTCTGCTTCTTGGGTTAGTTTCCAGAAAACAGGAACTCACAGTAACGCTGCAACATTTTGAAATAAAAAAAGTAAAATTCATAATCTACTTTTGAATTAAACTAAACCTATGAACATCAAAATGAATAGTGCTAAATGCATGGTGATATTTGAGCTGGCATTGGTGTTACCTTCATTCCTTCTTCTTTCCCATTTGTAATTAGTTCATCTATTCTCTTCTTTTCCTCAGTCTGCCAAAAAGACAAATGCACAAGTTAATGCTATTCAGATACGTCTTTCTTTCAGCTAACAAGAAGCATTTCCGTTAGCACTCTCACTTTTCTAAACAGAATTAAAATCAATGTAAAAAAAGTCAAATCACTACCAATAGGTGTATAAAGAGCTGGAAGGCATAAGAACTGCCATTTACTGGGTCAGACCAGAGGCCCCTCTTGCCCAGTATCCTGCATCACAGTGGCATAGAATGGATGCTGAAAGAAAGCGTGAACTGGGTATGGCCAGGGTTTTTCCACTGTTCCTCTCCTTTAGAAAAATACACATCAGGATTACTAGCGTGATGCTTTGAATTGTTGTGCCTTGTCTGTATAAGCCATTTTACAGATAACAGACAGCCCTGCACATCCTCAAGCATTCAATTGACTAGCAGCATGGAGAAGTGGATCAATCCCACAGGTAACCAGAGCACATACCTGTAGTTCAGTTTTACTCTTCCTGGAACTTCTTCTAACAGGATAATAATCTGTCACTTTTCGATTCTGTGAGGTTTTTCCTTGTGCTCTGAGGGGGAGAGAAGGGATACACAAATAGTTCAGCTTCTTCCTGGCAGCACAGCCTGAACCCAAGATAATGTGTTAAAAAGTCTTTATTTTCCAAGACAGATGCTTGGAAAAAATAAGCTGGCCATCCTGAACAAAAATTAAGCTTTTTACCTGCACCCTTCATCCCAAGCCAACATCTTAAAGCTGCATCCCTTTTTCCCCCCCAACTTTATTAAAATCACTAGTGTTTCAGTACAAACCCTTCAGAAAAGAGAACCAGACACCTCTGGAAGCGCAGTGGGTTAGCTCAAATTACTACTACACAGCAGGTGCACCTCAACAAGATGCTCTAGAACTTCCTTCATCTAAACTATGCAAAAGGGATGCATACATGAGTAGAGAAACCAATGAGGCAAAACCACTGCCTATAATATTATCTTAATACTTTGGATCTGGCAAAAGAATCTAATTTTATACCCAAAAAGCATGCACCTGAATGACTTGTTAGTACCTTTTGGTAAAGATTAGTGAAAACACTCACCAATTAATATGCAAGCCAGAAAAGTGTGCATGTTAAAGTAAAAAGCAATTTGAAAACTGCATTTTAATACTAATGGTACAACGTTCACACACAAATATTGTTCTTTAGAGCATATTTCACATGATCCAAGTCTCGATGGCAGAAAACCTTGCTACAAGCTTGCTTGAAAAAAAAAAAAAATCCAAGATATTATTGTAATATCTAGGAGCTAGAGTCATGAAATAAGACATCGCTGGTCCAGAAGCTGTCCAAATGGAATATGGACACCGTATGATGCCATAAGTCACCTACTTTCTCCTTGGTCCTTTTGCTTTAACCACCTTCTTCTGAGCTTGCTTTGCTTTTGCTGCATCAGTACTATTAGAAGGCAGAGGCATATTCTTTCGAGTTTCTGCAGCTTCTTGATTTTGATTAGGAACAGATGCTGAAGAATCACACCCACTTTCTTTATCTTTCTGGTCTTCTGGTTTTGTAGCACCTTCTATTGGATTACCAGCATTTCTTTTTTCTGTGGATAGAAAAGAAAAAAAAACAAAACAAAACAAACCATACATATACACACACACACACACACACACACACACACACAGAGGACATGGACTAAATTGCCTTCTAGCCTTATTTTCTTCTACACTGCAAAGCATTCTAAAACCTTAAGAATGTTTAACCTGTATTTCATCTGGGTCAAATGATAAGAATGGGAGGGAGAGCAGAATCATCATGCTCTTTTTCTGCTAGACCTTAAAATTAGAAGTCAGTCAGGCCAAATTGTAACAAGCTCTCCTTTCTGCATTATGATCATAACCCTACAGGGTACAAAGGGAAGGGTGCGGGGAAGGACTGGAGCCCAGGTATTTCAGCAAGTTAAGAATGCTATCCAAAGACTTTTCTAAGTCCCAACATGCATCCGTAGGGAGTCTTGTAACAACTGGACAATTTGCCAAGTCAGTAAGCTTGGTGTACTGAATTTTGAAGTTGGTACAAGAACAGGATCAATAGCCTGCAATGAAAGAGTGGCTGTGGCAGTCGGCTGGAACACTGCAGTCCCATTGTTAGTGACTGCAGCTATCATTAAAGCAGCAGCCAATACCAGCTAATGAAAAGCATGGGGACAAAACGAAGATTGAAAAGGAAAAAACAAACAGAAAAAAAGCCCTCTCTCTCCATGTCTTCTGTACAAGGTTGCAAAGCTATGTATTGTAGTTGGTACTACCTTTTGCTAGCTTCAAAGAAATGCAGTCCAAGAGTGGTGGTGGAAGACTAGGATTCTGGCAAGATTCAAGGTCAACAGCTGTCAACATCAGAGATAACATCCCAGTTCTTCACATAGCCAAGGCGCCTACAATGGCCCAGGATTCAGCAAACAATTTAAGCATGTGCTTAAGCCCAATTTAAAAAAAAATAAATAAAAGTCAACGTGTTTAGGAGTTAAGAGCTTTACTGAAGAGGGATGAGAGTCCACAGTTGCTCCAGTTTAAGTACATGCTCCAGTACTTTGCCAAATCACAGCCTGAATCGTACACCTTTAGGGGCCTAGTCCAGTCCCTGCTGAAGTCAGTGCTAGTCTTTCCACCGTCTCCAACAGAACTGAAACAGGCACCTGCATGCTGTCAAACTGCAAGCAAACTGAATATGCTTACCATCCATCCTCAGGTCACTTATTTTTGAAGGGGGAAGATCTTATTCTGGTAGAATATGCTATCTCTTGGGTCAGTCCCAGTCCACTGTGGACACTTAGGCCAGGAAATAAAAAAAACGCATCCTTTTTCTCAGTTGGTGGATTTGTAGTTAGCTGAGCATGACTTAGTGTTGGCTCAGTTTATTTTCTATTTAAGGGAAGTGTGAAGCCTGTGTTAAAGGATGCGTAGGTAAGAAGTCCTAGTAATAAGTTATAGTACAACTACTTTGAGCAGATGCAAAGTCCCATGCAGGCAGGAAGAGATGCAAGAAGCATGTCACCTGGGTTCCATCCAAAAACCCAGATGCATGCAAATTGGAGTCCTTAAGCCTTTTCACCCATTGTGCCAGAAATGCTAATACCCCGCAAGACCTGCACCTTTAACAAAGATTGGTATAAAATTCTCCAGTCGATTTGTGCAATAGTCCCATCTAGTGCATAGCTTTACATGTTCTATTACATGACTAAAAGATAGTCTAGTCTCAGAATCCATTTCCCCCCCCTCTCAACTTTATCTGCAGAGATATTCATTAGCTCCTCCGCTCCTTCAAATCTTTCTAGCCTAGGTGGTTCCTTAGTGCATCTTTCATTGTAAATAGGTTCATGCAAAAAACAGTTTGCTTACTAAAGCTAAGGAGGCCCATTCAAATTGTGAAGTGACCTGCGGTTATGGGATAGTAATGTGGCAATTTACTAGTTATTAATCCTACACCCAGGGTAAGGAAGCAAATAAGCAGAGACAAAACAAGAGAACATTTACCCAAGCAGCTATGTATTTTAAGACAAGCTGCCAAAGGGCTGCAAACCTCCCCAAGACCTCACTGCAAGAAGGGGGGCAGGCAGGGAGTGGGAAAGCAGATGGTTTACAAGAGAAAAGTAAGCTGTCCCCAATTTTGAAAGTTTAAAGAAACAAAGCTTACAGAGAAGGCACATATCCTAAGCCACAAGCAACCTACTGAAAAGTCAATCTTACCATCTCCTTTTCTGCACGTTTCATTTATTGTTTTGCCCTGACACTTCACTTCGTGATGCATGACACAGTTTTCTTCTTGAAGTGGAGGACGAGCACCTGGAGATTTGTTAGGACTCAGGTAGGTGTAGATTTTGGACTGACCAATAAATACGTTCTCCTAAAACAACCCACACAAAGATCAGTACATCGCAGGAATCACCAGGCTCAAGCCTCCAGTTGGTCTCTATAACATACTACATAGGATAACAGCTAGTTGAAGCAGTACAATTTTCAGCTGTAAAGCAGAGGCTACACCAGCCTTGCCATTATGGCCACCTGTATCCAAACCTTGGAACTGTGATAATTGTTTGTACAGAACTTGCCCTGCAAGTCTGCAGCACAGAAATGTTTCCTTGGAACAAATTGTTAGGTTATTTGAATGAGCCACTAGGATATAATTCTGTATTCTGATGTAGACGCAACATTAAGTAGTTTAAACAAGACATGCAGTGCTACTCTGGGGACAGAATTTGGACTCAAAAGCCTTTAAAAAAGCAGGTGGGGCAAATCTGAAGTTCTCTCTTTTAAAATCTCTCAAAAAACAAAAACAACAAGCTATTGCATTTTTGTTATTTTTGTATCTACCACAGGACAGAGACTCAGAATAATATGTTACCATTATTTTGAGTTTAATATTCTTCCAGAAATAAGGCTATGGTCATTCTAGGCTTTTTTAAATTGGTTTGGGAATTTCTTTTCAGTACTTTCACCCGCTCCCCCCTTTGTGTGTTCCTCTCTAAAATCAGTTGGGGGAATTTCTTTTAATACCAATAATACAATGATACCTCCTACAAGAAAGGAACAAAACCAAAAATCACTGATACCTACAGGATCAGGAAGAGCGTTTGGGTAGTAGCAACATTTAAAGATATTTACAGTGCACAGCAGCAGTTCCCAAACTGGCAGATTATGCACCACCAATTTAAAACAATACAAGTACCACCAGCAATTTTTTGTCATATAAAAGTAATTATAATAGGTCTGTTAATGCGTACCACTGACAGGTTGCCTGCAAAGCACAGATTGGGAACCGTCGGTGCATAGTATAAGCAGTGTGCTCCAAAATTTACAACTTGTCAGGTATATAGTAAATGATTCTACAGGCTCAATGTAGAATGCAGTAAAGCAGAGCTGGAATCCAAGAGTAGCTCTTCCCAATATACAGCTTCATGCAAAATTCAGTTACAACCTTTTTCTTCTACCATGCTGAGATCAGGCTGGTACGCAGCACCATGGGGCACTGAGTTTGGTAGAAGTTTTCCTTCTTTGTACTTTAGAGAATCTCAGCTTTGATTTTACAGCAAAGTCCTCAGAAGCGTTACCAATGCAACAAAGGTTTGCCCAAGTCTGGGATGTCGGGGTGAATGTCACAGGTGCAAACTTTTTTCAGTGAAGTTAAATGTCATCACTGGGCTGATGACTTAAGTGTCATCATTGCTAATGACATATTGGGCATTTGGAAAACAGAAAAGAAATCAGAGGTCTGAAGTCATCTTTGAGTGACATCTCAGTTTGGCACTACGAGTGGATGATATCTCTGGGAGCAGATCTTACGAGGTCCCTTCCAGCCCTAATGTCTATGAAAAGTAAGACTTTTATTCACCTCCCAAATCAAACAAACTAACTCAGCTGGGCATTTAGTCCCATGGAGATAAAGCATATTCATCTTCCTTGAAAATGAGCCAAGCAGACTTTGGGAGAGCAGGCAGTCTACCGCAAGTAGTCCCTTATACAGGCTGTTTGTGCAGGGAGGGTCCACTTTGAGAAGCCTAGAAGAACACTCATCGGTTCCCTCCACCACCAGCATTAATAAGTTTGTAAATCATATGAAGATTTTGACTCATTAGCCCCAGTGCCTTGATAAGCAAGTGTAACTTGGCCAGATTAAAATGATCTTAGCAACTGGAAGAGGCTGGCAGATTCAAACTCATCCACCAAATTCCATGTATTAAAAAGGAACTTTAAGGAAAGGATAAAGGTATGCCAGAATTATGGCACACGAGCATTAGCCATTAAAAGGGACATACAACAAAGATAACAGTATTATTTGTTCCCAATGACTACTCAGTTACAAAATACAAACGGCCAGTCTCAGTGCTGTGTCTGTAGCTCGCTGAAGCCAGATCAGAGGGGCAGGGGGAGTACATTTTGCAAGGATAGCAGCAGTACATGCACGTCTGAGCCAGGAACAAAGATCAGTCACACATCCAGGCCCTGTTGCTCCAGCCAGCTCCACAGACCACTGAGCACACGTGGCGGCTCAGGCAGGGACTTCAATGAGCCTGTCTGCCAGGCAAGGGCCTGAAACAGCTAAATTATAACCCAGAAGTGAACCGACTGGCAAAGTGGTTTTCATTCGGGACAACTCTGATGGCCGACTACCCAGAAGAACCAGGTTTTCTAGTTCAGTTTCCCCTCAGACACGAGAGGAGTGGCTGGACATGTTGCTCCAGTCCGTGCTAGCAGCAGCAGCGAGGGAAAACCATCAGGGAAGCTGAGGGGCTTTTAAGTGTCGCTGCCAGAAGCCAACTGCTGTTTTATGAAGAGCCTGGGCACCAGTTAGGACTTTCAGCCTCCACCCCCCTCCCCCTAAACAGATTAGCCCTGTAAATAATCTTAGAGAAAAGGAAAGCTGAGAAGGAAACCCTTAACCCGTCCCAGCACGCACTGACAGGAGCGCTGCACCAGGCTGACACTTCAAGGACCAACTGTGCCCGGCCCAGCCGGCTCAAAGGAGCATGGCATCATGACAACGAGCATCGAGGTGGTTTTCTCATCTGCCTCGACCTCCTGGGGGCTTCCACCCAGAAGAGGACCTGGGGGTGACAGAAGACAAGCTGAACAGGAGCCAGCAGCGTGTCCTTGCTGCCAAGAAGGCTACTGGCATCCTGGGCTGCATCGGCAGGAGCGCTGCCGGCAGGTCGAGCCAGTGATTCTTCCCCTCTAGTCAGCACTGGGGAGGCCACATGTGGAGTCCGGTGTCCAGCTTTGGACCCCCCGCTACAGAAAGGACATGGACACATTGAAGACAGTCCAGCAGAGAGCAATGAAAGTGGCTGGGGGACAGGCCTGGTGAGGAGAGGCTGAGGGATGGGGCTGATTTAGCCTGCAGAAGAGAAGACTGAGGGGATTGAATAGCAGCCTTCAGCTCCCTGCAGGGGGGCGGCAAAGAGGGTGGAGCTGGACTGTTCTCAGTGGGGGCAGATGACAGAAGGGGCAATGGGCCCGGGCTGCAGCAAGGGAAGGCGAGGCCAGCTATCAGGAGGACCTCGCTCAGCAGGCAGGAGCAGGTAGCCCTGGGTGGTGGAGCGCTCGCCGTCCGGGGAGGGTTGGACACAAAGCCTCGGCTGGGCTGGGCTAGGTGTCCCTCCAGCCCACAGCCCGGCTCTTCCTGCTCGAGCCGGAGGCGGCTCCTCGCACCCCGGCCCGGCTCGGCCCTTCCCCTACCCGCCGGGCAGGGCGCAGCGGCGCTTACCCCGTTCATCCTGGGCCGGCCGCCGCACCTCCGCTCCGCGCCGTCCGCCGCCGCCTCCCCGCTG